GGTTACCGGGAGACACAATTATATCACTGATGAAGAAATTTAAATCATTTCACTTTATGCTAAATATTGCGCTGAAAGGGGATGTTGTCCAGAAGGACGACGAAAGCTCCGCAACTAAACCAACCAGCTCAGAGAACACTATTAATTGCAAATCATCCACCTGAGCCACAAATCTTCTCTATTAGTCTTTGTTCTTGTTTTTTTTTCTCATGACCAAGATTTGGGACGTAAACATTGACGTAAATTGCTGTCTACCAATTTTAGCTAGTGAGGACAGGAGTAACACAAGGCTGCCTACTATCACCAATGATTTTCCTGATTGCAGTAGACTGGATTAGGTGACAGACAGCGGGCAATGAGGAAACAGGCATAAAATGGATACACACAAAAAACTTGGAGGATCTGGACTTCGCCTATGATATATGTCTGATTTCCCACAAACTGGAAGATATGCAAGCTAAAAGCAACAAGTTGGCAGAAGAAGCATCAAAGATAGAACTTCAGGTGAACATAGAGAAGACAGAGGTGATGAAGATTCCCGGGCAACACCAACAACAACAACAGACAACAAAAAGCATAAATGGGAGGAACCTGAAAGAAACAACCTCTTTTACCTACCTGGGAAGAATCGTTTCAACTGCAGGCAGACGGAACTCACGAGGATATCAAAGCAAGAATCGGAAAAGCAAGACAAGCTTTCACTGCTCTCAAGTCTGTGTGGAGGTCAACAACACTCAGCATGAAAAATAAGATCCGGATTTTCAACTCCAATGTGAAGTCAGTGCTTGTCACTATACGGATCAGAGACTTGCACTGCGCGTCATAAAGAGCATCTCAAACAAACTACAGACCTTCATTAACAGTTGTCTTCCCTTAATACTCAAGATAAGATGACCAGAAAAGACCAGCAACAGAGATCTCTGGGAGCGAACCAACGAGGAACCGATTGTGAAACAAATAGGGAGGAAGAAATGGAGATGGATTGGCCATACTCAGAGGAAACAATGCATCAAGTGACATCACTAGACAAGCCATTGCTCGAGTGGAACCCGAAAGAGAAGCGGCGAGTTGGTCGTCAGTGCAAGGGTGACTTGGAGGAGGTCATATGAAGAGGGGATGAAAACGTGTTGGCAGACTTGGAGCCAGATGAAGACTCTAGCAGAGAACCGAACTCAATGGAGACGCACGTCTGAAGCCCTATGTTCCTGTAGGAATTAAAGGATACAATAATAATAATAATAATTTTAGCTAGTAGACAGCTTTCACCACAATATCACTCTAACACTTATTGAACTCCTCTTATGCATTGACTACTAATATTCAACAACTATGATAATGACAACACATCACTTTTTTTTCTACTATCCTCTTTCATAGAAAGTTGTATATAAATGAGATTGTGTACACTGTTAGAGAGGAGAATGAATTTACTGAAAAGAGCCTCTTCTTTGAACTACCTGTTCCCGTATTTGATAATTTCATCTGATATATCACACAGGGGGATATACAGTGTATGAATATGAACTGGTTTGACTTTTTTAGGACAATTTTCTTTTTTTTTTGCTGCTCATAATCATTTCAGTGTATTCATCACACAATTGACAACTTGCTTGCTATCGACTTACTGTTCTGTGTTGGTATTTAATTTAATTACAATTTTCAATATATCTGTGGATATGGCTGTTGTACATCATTTCCGGTTGTAAGTAGTTGGTGGTGATTCGATGCTGACAACCTGACAGTATCTTTGCCTGTCAAATGTCAAAGTGACTGCTCTAAACTAAATGGCTTTCTCATCATGAGCTGACATTAGTTAGAGAACCATTGGAAAACCAGCTGGAAGTACTTGGCAACTGTTTCGTCAGCCTCGTTTGGGACTCTTCACCAGTAAGCACTCACCACAGGGGTTCGAACCCAGGACCTTCTGCTTACAAGGCTAGCGACCTCGTAGACCATTAAGCCACTGGGACCCGATCCAGTGGCCAGTGCACGAATTCTAATTTCTGCCAATTGACGACATAGCGCGACCCCTAGCCAATGTCTCCCAGGTTTTCCAATGGTTCTCTAACTAATGTCAGCTCATGATGAAAATCCCGTAGCCAATCAAATCCCTACAAACCAACACTTGAATAAATGGCTTTCTGTCAGAAATCAGCCAGTGGTCCAAGGAAAACGGTCTTACCTTAAACCTCTCCAAATGCCAAACAGTCAATTTCACCTTTAGGCATAAATCCGACCTAAACAAACTGGTTAGCTCTCATGAGGTGTGCAACGTAGATGGCAATGAAATAGAAACCAAGTCAGAAATTAAATGCCTAAGCGTCATTCTATCTGCTGATCTTTCCTGGTCGTCTCATATCTTGGCGATTTCTAAGAAAATATTCCGTCTTACCTTCTACACCAAGAAGTTAAGACATTCTGATATAACCCAACCCTTACTGCTACAATTCGTTAACTCTCGCATTCTACCTATTATTCTCTATTGTTCCCCTTTAGTTTTTCCAGGGCTACTGAAGAAAGACTATAACATATTACGCAGGATGTTAAAGGTTGTCAGCAGGGTAAGCAACGTGCCATTTAACCAGCTTGTTAATATTCTGGTTGACAGGCACATAGACTCATGTGAAAAATGGGCTAAATCCACACCACCCTCTTCACTCACAACTCTCCCCTTGCATCTCATCAGGCAAAACCAGAAGCCTATATAGAAAACTAAATGCTCGCACCAGCAAGTACAAAAACTCAACCATAACCTACTTAGCTCGTGTTCTGTGTGATAAAGAAAGCATTAGGCGTGACACCTGTAACTCACTAAATAGTCAGTAAGACAACTGGACCTCGTCTTTCCAACTCATATCATTTGTAGGTGCAACGTTTTCTTTCTTTCTTTTCCTTTTCTCTCTCTCCTTTTTCTCTTTTTTTCTGTTATGTGCTGCTTTGTTTCTTTCTTCCACTTACGCCAGTAAATATGATAGCACCTACTTTTCTAACACCTTCAAGTATTGGTTTGTAGGGATTTGATTGATTGAGTGCAGCAGGTCAGGTGTGAGAACAAATACTCGCCGAAGACATTGGCTAGCCATCGCGCTATGTCGTGAATTGGCAGAAGTTAGAATTCATGAACTGGCCATTGGATAGGGTCCCAGTGGCCTAATGGTCTACGAGCTAGCTCGCCTTGTAACCAGAAGGTCCTGGGTTCGAACCCCTGTGGTGAGTGCTTACTGATGAAGAGTCCCAAACTGGTGGGACGAAACAGCTGCCCAGTACTCTCAGCTGGTTTTCCAGTAGTTCTCTAACCAGTGTCAGCTCATGCTGAAATCCTGTAATAAATCAATATTGTCTGACTCTGCTCAACACCCCCGTCTGTTTTCAACTCTCCCAGCCGTGTATCTCATCTGGTTGGACTAGAAGTTAGTACAAAAGATTATGCTGTCGTGCTACCAAATATAGGAACTCAACGGTACCATATTTGGCCAGCGCATGTTCTATGTGATAGAGACAATGTTAAGTGCGAAACCTATGAGTTAATATGTTGTTAGCAAAATAATCGGCTCTTTTATTACCTCAGTTAACTGACAATCTTGGCTACTAACAGTATTATTTACATTTTGTTTTGTATATGTATGACTTAACTGTCGTCACTATTAATACCAAACAAGAACTGCCATTAACAATCCTGAACTAGTATGTCTATAATTGTTTTTAAAAAATATTATTTGATAAAATTAAATGCATTATTCCAGGAAATGCTGAAGATTCCACACTGGAACATTAGTACTTTTTTTGGAGTAAAGCAAACTATTATTATTATTATTTGATTGCTTTTCTTCTGGTTTACCTAGAATAATAATAATTTGCTTTATTCCAGAAACAATATTAGTGGTACAGTGTGGAATTTTCAGCACATATCTACAATATTTGCATCTAATATTATCTAACGTTTAAAAGGAGTATTTTCAAAAAAATTAAATATAAAGACAACAACAGAAAAAAAAGAAGTAGAAAGGAAAATAAACAACATAAAATAATATCTCAGTATTGGGTAGTGGAAGCTATGATATGATTATACATGGTGACAGTAAAGCTATAGTCATACAAGAAGTTATGAAATGATATTTAAGAATGTTTATCGCCAAGATGATCAGTTAATTTGGTTGAAACAACTCTAAACAATCATAAAATAACATTTCAGGGTTGTTGTTTTGTTTTTTATTGTCAGCTCTAATGCGGTGTTTGTAGTGGTAGTGTAAATAATCCTGCATAATACAAAATTTTAAGGTGGTGATAATGGCGTTCACAACCAATGATTGTCAGTTAATATTGCCGAAAAAGATTAAAAAATAAGAAAAAACAACCACAAAAACTAATAATTACATGGTGGTTGATGACAGGACAATTTTGTACTACTCATAGTGCTAATATAGTCGGATCCAGTAGATACCCAAAAGAAGGAATACAGTAAAGTACAAAAATTAAGCCAATGCTAATAATTTAGGTAGCTAAGTATGCTTAAGGATGAGTTCACTATAGAATACAAAATAAGAGAGAAATAAAAGAGCCTAAATTATGTTATTAGCAACAAAGCAAGTCGTAGGCTTCGCGCTTAACATTGTCTCTGTCGCTTAGGACACGGGCCAATTTTGGTATCGTTGAGTTCCTTTACTTGGTTGTACGAGCATAGATTATTTTATACTGATTTCTGATTCTAATTGATGACATACAAGGCGAGAGTTGGGAATAGAGGGAGTGTTGGGGGTCCGAGAGTATGGTTTTAGACCATTTTTCGCATGCATTCAGATGCCTTTCAACTAATGTAGTGACGAGCTGACTGAGTTTTACACCACTAGTCCTACTAACTACCTTGAACATCCTTCTCAGGATGGTATAGTCCTTTTTCAGTAGACCAGGAAAGATTAACGGGGAGCAGTATTAAAGTATATCCCCACACTAATTGTTAATCTAATTTGTTTTACTAATCTTTCAAATATATTTATTTATAGGTCTTGCTGGAACACTGTATTTTCTTGTTGGTATTATGGACCCAGACAGCTCGAAATTCCCATTGTTGAGTGGACTTTAAGTAAACATTGCAGAGATGTTGTGCTTTTTTTTATCGCATGTACTTTTTCTCACATAAATTTCTTCTGTCTTGAGAAACTTGTTTCTGTTTTCTTTTCATTTCTCCATCATTTAACAATTTTACTAATAAACATTTTCAGATCATAATTCTACTCATGACTACATTCATTATAAATTATTTAAAATAATCCCAAAGTTTTGATGATATCAGATGGTTGGAGGCAATCGGCCACAGGAAGCCTTGCCTGGACCTAGGTTTCGTGTTAGTTGGTACCCACCCACCAGTCATCAAGGCGTATCTTCAATCATCTTGAAGGAACTCGTGTCCCTTCTGATATTCGAAGCGACCGCGTCACCGTGCACCTTGATTGATGGCGAGCTACCTAGAATGGTAGCCACATTGCAAACCTGACTGATAGATGTATTTGAATTCGTAGACAAAATAAAAGATATTAATATCAAGGACAAAACCATGATATCTCTGGACATAACATCGCTATTCACAAATGTACCTCTAATAGAAACAGTTAATTATATATATGGACAAGCAGTCGATAAACATTGGAATCCATATTGAAATCCTAAAAGAATTGATATTTAGATGTACCATGAATGTAAACTTCAAATTTGACGGCACGGTTTACAGGCAAGTGGAGGGGGTGGCAATGGGCTCCCCATTAGGTCCAATTCTGGCTGATTTCTTTCTTAGTAAGCTAGAAAATGGACCTCTGAACAACCTTATCAGTAAGCTGTCATTTTATTGCCGATATATGGACGATACCTTTTTCTTTGTGATAATGGTTCATATAGGAGTACAATAATTACTGAATTCAATGAAGTACATTCGGCCATGAAATTCACATGCCAGGAGGAATCCCAAGACAGAATTGCCTTCTTGGATGTCCTACTTACAAGAAAACCAGATGGTGGCATAAAAAGAAATGTACATAGAAAAAGTACTTGGACGGGACAATATACACACTTTCATAGCTTCGTTCCCATCAAATACAAAAGGAATTTGGTGAAGACCCTAAGCCACAGAGTTAGAGCTATATGCTCTGAAGAAGTAATTAAAGATGAATTAAACATGGTATATGATACTTTAATTGAAAATGGTTATCCTGACAAGTTTATCAAGAAACATATGACGAAGAAGGCCGAAAAGGACGACCCACTATCTGTAAACAAGAAGCCCCTTTATATACGACTACAATTCAAGGGCGATAAACCAAGTGAGTTAATTACAAAGAAATTAAGAAAAGCAGTTCAAAGGACTTTTAATGCTGGCGAACTACACATCTTATTCTCTACAAGACCGATGGTGCTACCTCGACTGAAAGATGAAGTACCTAGACTGGCCACTTCAAATTGTATTTATCAATTCAACTGCGCTTGTGGAGCGAGTTATGTTGGCCGTTGCTCTAGGAACTTGATTTTTCGTGCTCGAGAACATATCCCACTATGGCTAAGTAAAGGTGTAGTTAAAACTATTAACAGCTCGATATTAGACCATCTGGTGCAAACCGGTCACAAAGCCAGCGTAGACGAATCCTTCTCCATAATATACCGGGTGCCTAACAAACTACCAAAATCGTCGAAGCACCGCTTGCTCCAAACAGCAGAGGCTATTGCAATTCGCCTCAAACAACCAGTGCTCTGTGTTCAAAGAAACAAGTCCAGCCCCTACTACTGCCCTGGCCCTCAGTAGAGACTATAAACTCATGAATTTGTACCATTACCTTTCCTAATTCTTCTGACATTCAGTTTATTTTATGTTGATGCTGTTCAGCTGTAATTTATCAATATTATTGATTTGATGTTATTTAAACATTAATGTCGTTCATAAGACTAATTCATTCATTCATTATAATGTATATATAATTGTAGAACCTGATGATGAATTTATCGAAAAGAGTTCTCTTTGTTCCGTGTCTATTCTTTTGATAGAATTCAGTCTGCACCAAAGAAAGGACTAGAGACACATCACACTAGTTACTAGTGTCCAACCAAAATAATCCCAGAGTGTTTTTTAGAAAAAATTAAAACAAGATTTTTCTGAATATTCGGCTGTGTAAACCACAATTTTTTTCAGCTGAATTATTCGGATTTTATTAATCATCAAAATATATAGTCCTAAAACTTTTTTTACAGAAATTGAAGTCACGGAATATACACATTTGATCATAGGGAATAAAAAGACAGTTGCAGCGAAGAAAATTTTCTTTTCGACGAAATCATCAACAAGGCTGTACATTCGTGTATTTATAACAAATGGATGGGAAAGTTCCAGAATAATTTCCGGTCAAGGGTCAGATTAATAAAATTACAATTAGGAATTAAAATGCCATAATAAACAGGGGGATGGATAAAACTCAAACAAAGTAGTATCATAATTACTGAGGAGATTGACATATTGTGCAATTAGGGGTTAGAAATGTAGAAATAAAAACAATAGACAGGATGTTTGGATAAAAAATCTAGTGGGATCATAACTAATGTGACGAATAATTGTTTATGCAATCAGGGATTAAATATGTAGAAATAATAAAATAACAAAATAGACAGGAAGTTCGGATATGAAAATATGGTAGTGTAAATAGGGATTAAGAAAAACTTAAAATAACATGAATAAACAGGAAGTTTGGCTAAGAAAGTCAATGGGATAGTCACTATTAGAAGAATTACCTGTTTATGATGGCCACGGCAGGGACAAGGGTTGAACGTATTTCTTTTGAACACATAGCTTGGGTTTGAGCTTTTGGATGGCTAGTGCCTCGGCTATGCCCAGATGTCTTAATTTTACTCCCTTTGATAGGTTTGATCGAATCTTGTATATTATTTTGAAGGATTTTTCGAATGGCGCTGAATGTCCTGAATTGACCAGATGTTCTGTCACTGAACTGTATACACGTTTTCGTTCTCCTTTTACTAGCCAGGCTGGATAGTGTTCACGAGCGCGTTTTTCAAGTTGGCGCATGGTACGGCCGATGTACTCAGCTCCGCAAGAGCAAGTAAACTGGTATATGCACGTTGAAGTGGCCCAATGCGACAGTTTGTCTTTCGCGTTCTGGTTGAACAGTTTCTTGCAGGAAAACGTTAGTCGTAGGCTCGCGGCGAAGTATGTCTTCCTCAGAGATTTACAGAGGCGTTTACGAAGGATTTCTGCTTCAGTGTCACCTTTGAATTCTAGATTAAGCAGAAGTATCTTCTTCGGGACGGATTGAACTTGTTCGGAAGTCTTCTTTGATTTGAGGTTCTTGTCTATGAACCTAGGTGGAAAACCGTTTTCCATCAGGGTTCTTCGGAGATTACTCAGTTCTTCATCAATCACTTCCTCGCTGCATATCTTCCGAATCCTCGAGGAAAGAGCGTATATCAGGTTCCTCTTTCTGCTTAGGGGCACGAAGCTTTGAAAATTGATGAATTGTCCAGTCCATGTGGGCTTTTTGTAGATGGACCTTTTCAGAGAGTTGTCGGCGTTTCTTGTCAGATGGACGTCGAGGAAGTGGAACATTCCGTCGGATTCGGCTTCAAGAGTAAAGTTGATGTTTTGGTGGGCATTGTTGAATGTTTGAAGTAAGTTTTCAAGGTCCAGGTTCTCATCGCAAATGATGAAAGTATCATCAATCTCTAGTAGAGATGAAGGTCGTTGATAGTTGATGATAAGGGGTTGTTTTCGAGGCTGGCCATAAAACAGTCGGCTAGTAGTGGTCCGAGTGGCGTAGCAATGGGCTCTCCACTGTGTTAACCACAGTTTTTTCAGCAGAATTATTCCGATTTTATTAATCAACAAAATATATAGTCCTAAAACTTTTTTTTACATAAATTGAAGTCAGTTTATTTGAAGTTCACTTGTTGGTGGATATTTGTACCAATAGAAAAATGCAAGGTGTCATCATATATTTGAAATGACTAATGTCAAACTGTCATTGTGCATATTTGTCTGTGTGAGTGTATGTTATTTGTCATATGGAAAAAAGGCGTTAATTCATTGTGCCTTTCTTTTCTTCTAATAATTTGTTGAATTTCTTAATTTGCATGGATTTTGATTTCTTCAAGGTTGAAATGAAATTGAAAAACTCAAAAACACAAACTCAAATGTATGCTAAATGTTAAAGATTGCGATATTGCGATTAAAACATCCAATAAAGTTAGAGAAGCAACCTTGAAGAAATCAAAATCCCCATGCAAATTAAGAAATTCAACAAATTATTAGGAGACTTTAATTCACATGTGTGATAAACATGATAATATTTTCATAGAGCTCACAGAGGTTTTGTTGCTTTTTCATCTGTCTTGCTTTATTAGGGTTTGCCATATCGGTGGTGATAAGTCTATCCCTTTTTAGAGGGCTGTAGGTATCGACGTTCGCGAGTTGTACGGATTATACTAACGCAAGATCTTATACCAACAACCACTATAGTGTTCGTTCTTCGAGTACTAAATGGTAAAGCAAAAGACCAGATTTTGTCGTCCAAAGTACGTATTATATTTCGGGACAAAATCGCGGGTAGGAATTAATGCTTAGCTAGCTAGTAATCGTGCACGCACGTGACACGACGAAGCACCAAATGGCGGGGATGCTTGACCGTAAGCCTTCAGCTAAACAAGTCGACTTAAACAGTGATGGTCAGCATCCAATGTTGAGTGATGATTGCTGTGGTTAATAATTTTGGGGAATTATTTACCGCTACAGCTCACACACCCCCTAGTGGGGTTGTGAGGACCCTAAGACATGACCAGCCGGAAGTAAAAAAATCTCGATGGTTCCCTGATGGGTGAAAAAAAATCTTCCGAGCGGCTTGATCGAGAGCCTGCTGGTCTGTCTGCCTATGCTAATAGGGTGTCTGTACATAGCTTCCTCGATGTTGTTCGTTGGATCCCGTGCTTCGTTTGTTTCCTTTCCAGTGCCCGTTGCACCTGGAAAAGAAAACAAGAATGCTGAGAACCTTGTCAAAAAAATGTACCAAATAAGCGTTTTTTTACCAAAAAAAATGACATGCATCTACTATACAGTAAAATAATGTAAAGTTCAAAATATCGGGAAAAAAATATATGCATCTAATTTAATTTTATGTACGGTTATAGGAAAAATATCATTTACTTGTGTTAAATGACGC